AGCACTTTGGGAGTCCAAGGCGGGCGGATCACCAGGTCAGGAGATTCAGACCATTCTGGCTAACACGGTGAAACCCGTCTCTACTAAAAATATAAAAAATTAGCCAGGCATGGTGGCATGCGCCTGTAGTCCCAGCTACCCAGGAGGCTGAGGCAGGAGAATCTCTTGAACCCAGGAGGCACAGGTTGCAGTAAGCCGAGATCAAGCCACAGCACTCCAACCTGGGCAACAGAGCAAGACTCCATTTCAAAGACATAAATAAATTAAACGACTGGTACCCAAAGTTGGTAAAGATGGGAAAACAAGAGTTCCCATTCATTGCCGTAGAGACATACTTTGGAGCATAGTTTCTGAGGGTAATTTTATAATATAAAACAAAATGTTCAAAAATCTATTCCTTTGGCTTAATATTTTCACTTTAAGAAATTTATTCTAGGCTAGGCGTGGTGGCTCATGCCTGTAATCCCAGCACTTTGGGAGGCAGAGGAGGGTGGATCACTTGAGGCCAGGAGTTTGAGACCAGCCTGGCCAACATGGTGAAACCCCACCTCTACTAAAAATACAAAAACCAGCCAGGTGTGGTGGTGCATGCCTGTAATCCCAGCTATTCAGGAGACTGTGGAATGAGAAGCTCTTGAACCTGGGAGGTGGAGACTGCAGTGAGCCAAGAGTGTGATGCTGGACTCCAACCTGGGTGACAGAGGAAGACTCTGTCTAAAACAGGAAAAAAAAAAAGAGACAATCAATAAGGAGGTGGTTAAAAAAACTACGCTACAGGCTGTGCACAGTGGCTCATGCCTAGGGAAGGTTGAAGCAGGAGGATCCCTTAAGCCCAGGAGTTCAAGAACAGCCTAGGCAACATAGTGAGACCTCATCTCTACAAAAAACTTATTTATTTATTTATTTTGGAGATAGAGTCTCACTGTGTCTCCCCAGCTGGAGTGCAATGGTATGATCTTGGCTCACTGCAACCTCCACCTCCTGAGTTCAAGTGATTCTCCTGCCTCAGCCTACCAAGCAGCTAGGACTACAGGTAAGCACCACCATGTCCGGCTAATTTTTGTATTATTAGTAGAGACAAGGTTTCAACATGTTGGCCAGGCTGGTCTTGAACTCCTGACCTCAAGTGATCTGCTCGCCCTGGCCTCCCATAGTGGCAGGGTTACAGGTGTGAGCTTCCACACCCAGCCTCTACAAAAAATTTTAAAAATGACTGGGTGTGGTGGTGTGTGCCTGTAGTCTCAGTTACTCAGGAGGCTGAAGTGAAAGGATTGCTTAAGCCCAGGAGATTGAGGCTACAGTGAACCAAGATCATGCCACTGCACTCTAGCCTGGGTGACAGAGCGAGACTCTGTTTCAAAAAAAAAACCCAAAACAAATACAAATACAAAAAAAACCTATGCTACAGTCAAACAACAAAATACTATGCAGTTATTAGCGCAAAGCAGACTTATAAGTAGTGTACATAGAAGAAAAAAAGTAGTGTACGTGGAAAGATGTTCACAATATATTAAGTGAAAAATAGAAAACTGCTTTGCACAATAGCATGTATAATATGACCTCATTTTCATTTCTTTTTGTGTTTTTGAAGACAGGGTCTTGCTCTGCTGCCTAGGCTGGAATGCAGTGGTGCGATCTCAGCTCACTGCAACCTTTGCCTCCCAGCCTCAAGCAATCCTCCTCCCACCTCAGCCTCTCAAGTAGCTAGGACTATGGGTACGTGCCACTATGCTTGGCTAACATTTTTTAAAAATTTGTAGCAATGAGGTCTCACTATATTTCCCAGGCTGGTCTCAAATTCATGGGCTCAAGTGATCCACCCACCTTGGCCTCCCCAAGTGCTGGGATTACAGGCGTAAGCCACTGCGGTGGCATGACCTCTTTTTCTTTTTTTTTTGAGATGGAGTCTTGCTCTGTCGCCCAGGCTGGAGTGCAGTGGCGCGATCTCAGAACACTGCAAGCTCTGCCTCCCGGGTTCATGCCATTCTCCTGCCTCAGCCTCCAAAGTAACTGAAATTACAGGTGACCACCACCCACACCCGGCTATTATTTTTGATTTTAGTAGAGACGAGTTTCACCGTGTTAGCAGGCACGTCTTGATCTCCTGACCTCATGATCCACCTGCCCCAGCCTCCAAGCGGCTGGATTACAGGCGTGAGCTACCACGCTGGTCTATGACCTCATTTTCTAAAAAGTAATTTGGTGGGCCGGGCGCAGTGGCTCACGCCCTGTAATCCCAGCACTTTGGGAGCCCGAGGCGGGAGGATCACGAGGTCAGAAGATTGAGACCGTCCTGGCTAACACGGTGGAAACCTCGTCTTACTAATAAAATACAAAAAATTACCCAGGTGTGGTGGGCGTCGCTGTAGTCCCAGCTACTCGAGGGCTGACGGCAGGAGAATGTTGTAAACACCAGGGAGGCAGAGCTTTGCAGTGAGCCGAGATGGTGCCACTTGCACTCCAGCCTGGGCGACAAAGCGAGATCCATCTCAAAAAAATAAATAAATAAAATAAATAAAAAAAGTAAGTTTGTATAGCGTAAATTCTGCAAAAATATTTACACCAGACAACAATAACTTTAAACACCATCTCTGAGTAATGAATATATGCTTTCTACATTTCTTATTGTTTTATCTTTTTTTTTTTTTTTTTTTTTACAAAAAGCATACATAACTTAAAATTTTTCTTTTGTTTTTTCTTTGAGACGGAGTCTTACTCTCTCACCCAGGCTGGAGTGCAGTGGCGCGCTCTCGGCTCACTGCAACCTCCGCCTTCTGGGTTCAAACAATTCTCTTGCCTCAGCCTGAGTAGCTGGGATTACAGGCGCGCACCACCAAGCCTGACTAATTTTTGTATTTTTAGTAGAGATGGTTTCACCACGTTGGTCAGGCTGGTCTCGAACTCCTGACCTCATGATGCACCCATCTCAGTCTCCCAAAGTGCTGGGATTACAGACGTGAGCTGCTGTGCCTGGCCAATTATTCTTATTTTATGTAATTTTTTTTTTTTAGAGATGGGATCAGGCTTTGTTGCCCAGGCTGGCCTCAAACTCCTGGCTTCAGGCGATCCTCCCACTTTGGCCTTCCAAAAGTATTGGGATTACAGGTATGAGCTACCACATCTGGCCTTAAAATTATAAAATACATTATCAAAAGCCATACATGTTATATATAAGCTAATTGGGAAAAAAACCTTCAAGCAAAGAAATTATAAAGTAAGAAAGGGAAAGTGTGTCCTTAACCCTACAAAATTCCATCCTTTGAAGTAGCCAAGGCCGGGCACAGTGGCTCATGCATGTAATCCTAGCACTTTAGGAAGCTGAGGCCGGCAGATGATCGCTTGAGCCGAAGAGTTCATGACCAGCTGGGCAACATGGTGAAACCCCATCTCTACAAAAAAAAAAAAAATACAAAGTGGGAGAATCACTTGAGCCCGGGATGTTGAGGCTGCAATGAGCCCTGACTGCACCACTGCACTTCAGTAAGATTCTGTCTCCAAAAAAAAAATAAAAAAGAAGTAGCCAATGTTAATGTTTTGGTCCTTTCATATCATTCTGTTCATATATACAAATATAAATGCATACATATAATTTTGTTTTCTCTAAACTGAGATTACACTAAATATATTTTATATACAACCTAAATTTCTTCTCAGTAACCTATATGTAAATATCTTCTTCCATGTTAGGACGTTTATATTTACATCACTCTTCTTAAACACTACCTACTATTTGATGTTATTGTTTGGATTGCTTTTTTAGTCAGAAAAGGTGAAGCTATTTCTGTTAAAATAAAAACATAACTATGCAACCCATTAGTCTTGAGTGCCCCCTACTGGAGGCTCTTCACTAATATTAACAAAAGGCTAAATTACGATTAATTTAAGCAAGAAGTAATTCAAACACAGGGCACTATGCTTTTCAGCATATGACAAAAAATCTGGAAATTAAAAGAAAAAAGTATGCTTTAAAATTATTTTACTGAGAAAGTTCTTTATTTACTTATGATGCATTACAGGTATGTGCTAAAGTCTCTCCAATTAAGGCAAAGACAAAGAAACCAAATTTAGCAGTTTGACCTTACATCTTACTACCAGACAAATGTGTGTATTTGTGTCAGTGGTGAGATGGGGACTCAGGGTGGGAAGTAATGGCGAACAGGTAGTTAAAGAGGAGTGAGGTAAAACTTTAAAAAAAAAAATCTCTTCCCTTCTGAACTGATATATACTTCTCTCCTCACATTTCAAATCTTCAAGAGGTATTTAGCTCTACCTCAAAGCACCTAGGTTGTTTACACTAGGTAATGTTTCGATCCATCTGAATCTGTGATTACATACCACATAATAATCAAAGACTCAGAGTAGAAGAAAACCAGCGATATTGGAAGAGTTAACCTGAAAAACATCCAAAGTATATTTAAACAAAGAAGACACTGCAATTAACAAAGGTGGCACTTCTTTATCAAACAAAATCCTTTTTTTTTTCTCGAGACGGAGTCTTGCTGTTGCCCAGGCTGGAGTGCGATGGCGCGTTCTCCGCCCACTGCAACCTCTGCCTCCTGGGTTCAAGCGATTCTCCTGCCTCAGCCTCCCGAGTAGCTGAAATTACAGGGGCATGCCACCACGCCCGGATAATTTTTTGTTTTTTTTTTTTTTGTTTTTTTTTCAGTAGACACAGAGTTTCACCATGTTGGCCAGGCTAGTCTCAAACTCCTGACCTCATGATTCACCTGCCTTGGCCTCCCAAAGTGCTGGGATTACAAGCACTGCGTCCAACCACAAAGTCCATTTTTAAAAATGACATATTAATTACGCTTGTTTTCCAGAAAAACTGACACTTATGACCAGAATTTTTTTAATAGAAACCAAAACCAAACTGAAACTTTACTCAAAACTGCATGTCTATATTATTTGTCAGGCAAATGCTATTTTGATATTTCTAGACATTAACATTTTATAGTCTTGACTTTGTTCTAAAATTCTCTTCACTAGTTAATACTTACAGCTAATCTGTGATTATTTGCAAGGCTGATCATTTGCTGGGCTAGGCCATTTAATAACCGAGTACGAAGAGACAGGTCATCTAGGTCATGACGAAACGGAAAAGCAATACCATCCACTATCACTAGTCGAACCTAAATACAGAAGAGATAATATTAGATTTGGTATCAAAAATAAAATAATAAAAATGACATCCAAAAACCATAGTCCGTTACAGGAAAAAATCTTAAAACCCAGGGCTTTATTTCCAACTGTCTAAAAAATGGCTTTCTTTTGAAAAGTTACAAAGCGGCTGGGCGCGGTGGCTCAAGCCTGTAATCCCAGCACTTTGGGAGGCCGAGACGGGCGGATCACGAGGTCAGGAGATCGAGACCATCCTGGTAACCCGGTGAAACCGCTCGTCTCTAGCTAAAAAAACAAATTAGGCCGGCCGCGCGGTGGCTCAAGCC